TTTGAAATCCAGTTGTAACCTTAAGTAAATTAGATTCATAGATATTCAGCAAGCAACAGCCTGGCCCCACAAGCCTATAACTGAAGAACTTTGCCTTCATTGACAGATGCATGCAGGCTCAAGCCCTGAGTTTGCTTGCAAGTGGTCAGTCAGTGTTTTCTTTCATTGATCATTCAGTGCTGAGAGGTGCTAGAGGCATTCCAACCACAAGTGGATTAAGGACATCTGATGTTAATGGAACCTATCTTATCAACAGCAAGCCTAACATAACTCTTTTTTTCAATTGGGCTTGTAATTATTTTTAAACCAAACTATACAATGGTGTGTTTCTATTTTCATAGCCTGCAATATGTCTCAGAAAAATGACAGCTCTATTGTGAGTAGCATATAAGTAATATTTTCTAACAAAGTGGTGGATGTAATACTAATATATGTAATTGTTTAAACAGGTATAAAACATGTACAATTACAAACAAAATCCGTGCTCAAGTATACAGCTTGCTTGCAATTACCACTGATGCTGTATGTATTTTTAAACAAGCTATAATACTGTGATGATGCTGTAAACTTCTGTAGGCAAAAAAATGTTCTATTTAAAAATGTCAAGATGAAGGATGTAAATGTTCTTAAAGTGCGATCAACTAAAGATATGATTTTTCACAGAATATTCTAAAGGGATCTGTTACATGCTACAGATATACTTCACAACGTATTTATGGATCACACGATAGTCTATGTGAGAACAAACAGTACTATTTTATTACAAAATAAAGGAATAAATAAGCAAAGGATATCCATGCCCATAAGCTGGATAATTATTTTTTTTTTAAAAGGTATTTTGACCAATTCTATAGACCCCTCAAATGACAGGAGTTGGTACCTCACTGACAGAAGGAAACGCTCCCCCTCATTTCCCAGCCTCTCCCCACACAGATCACATTGCTGCTGGTGCAGGCAAAGAGCTCCAGAATCAGTTGCATGGCAAAAAGGAACAGTTAGCTGGTTGCATAAAAAGACTGCTAACTTAGTATCTGTAGGATTTATAAGTACTCACTAATTCATTTATACTTTTTCTAAACAGTGGTATTTAGAACATTAACTGTTGCATGCTGTTACAGTTTGCACGTATTATACCTATGTTAGTTTTTACTGAGTGAAGACAAAGTCATTTTCTGAAAATCATATTGAATAGTAATAAATCACAATTTGGAGAACACATGTATATTTAAATATACAGAGCTGTAAGCACTCTTCCCGACACCCACATATACGATTTAGAGTAACTGCACAGAAAATGATAGTTCAGATTTTTCCTGAAGAAGAATCTGCATCCTGTGTCACTTAACAGCTCTGCAGTGAGACATGATCCCTTCCAACAGCAACTTGTCCTCAACGGCACCAGATCAAAGTGCTGCCAAGCTCCCAGTACGAACAAAAGGGTTTCAGACCCTCTTCTTGGAACCTGATCAAATTGGTTGTGCTTAAAAAACAAGAAATTCTTGAAGAAATTCTTGTCATGCAACAGAATTATGACTGAGATGGATTTACGAAAAGGCAGCAGTCCCCAGGGAGCCTGAAGCTCTTCATTTTCTAATACAGCTTTAAAGATGCAAGATTAACGTAAGCATTACAGGAGCTGTGGAACCAGGTCCCACCTCCTCCACATAGCCCTGCACAACGAGGGATACGATGACCTCCCAACTTCAAACATTCAGTGAGTGTGTATTTCACAGTGCTGTGGTGTAACCTGGCAGGTGACTAAAGCACAGGTATCTGGAAATCCATATCCAGGCAAGTTAATTACAATGAAGCTTCATTTCTATTCGGTGAGCGTTAGTAAACTATTGTGAGTGAGATGGCAGTTTATCCTTGGGGAGGAACAAGTATGAAGTCCCATGCCCCAACAGATGGTTGAGAACAAGACCACAGAATGACTGAGCTTAGATGCCAGCTTCAGCTTTCCTACAGAGAAACATGTGGAGAGTGAAAGTGGTAATCATACTGCCAAAGTCCATAAGAAACTGACTTCTATGTTAATTGGAGGAACATAATTTTATCCATAGTCAATAATAAAGAATAACAACATGAAATCAGCATATATAAAACAAAACAACGCATACATGAAAAACCCTTCCAAGTTAGTGCAAAGTTCAGAGATAATCTGGTTTACATCACCAATAATTTCTTAGATGACATAACACAACTATGTGTACCATGAAAGCTAGAAAGCAAATCTCCAGAACTTCTAGCAGCAGGCAGATTAATTTCTTGCAGTACTACAGCTGTTTAACACATGAATCACCCTTGATCCAACATTACTCTTTATATGCCCAGAAAGTACCAACAAGGGATATTTTACATTACATATTAATTAATATTTATTGGAACATAGTTCTACAGTGCTTCTTTGGATCAAAACAGAAATCTACTGCTGAGGATGGTGCAAGAGAGGAAGCTCCTATGAGCAGAGACAATTTACTTTCGTTGTTTTCTATTGGCCACCATGTCAGAGTTTTTGGATCACTACTCTACAGGATTATGAAATAATCCTACAGGATTTTTACACTACAGGATTATGAAATAAATTGAGATATCCAGATCATTCATTCCGTTTCATGTCCTTAAGTAGCTGCTACAGGAAAACACAAGACAAGCATTCGGTCAGTGAGTCAAAGGAAATAACTGCAGTGAGCAGTAGGAAAAGGCAAGCAACAGACATAGGCAATACAGGCTTTGACTTTTTCAGACGAGCTACTTGAGTTGCTTTTGTGACGTTTATGCAAACATAGAACAGTACAGCCCGTGAGATGGGAACATGAGCCCTACTTTACAGACACAATTGTCGTCAAACACCAAGACCAAATAGTAATGCATAACTCATGTAGCAATGCATTTACAGGAAGGTTTGAGGAAAGAGTTGGACAGAAATATTTCAGCATTCCCATAAAAAGATCTACATACTGAAAGCAAAACACCAAAATGTCTTTTTTTCCCCTAAAGAAATAATCAGCCCATCTTCAAGAATCTCAAAATTCTTTTTGTAAGGGCTGAAAGACTTTTTCACTGGCAACAACAACAACAACAACAAACACATTTTCAAAGAATTATTCCTGATTACCAGTTCTATGTATGTAACATCCCTCATGAGGATCTACACAGATTACTGTGGAATACTGTATGCCTTTTGCCTATGCAGATCACCAGAGACTTCAAAAGACTCAAGAGAAACTCAAGATTCAAGAGTGCAATCCAAAGCTAAATAAGGAGCAGAGATGGTGTATATAAAATGAATAGGCTTAAAAGATTAGAAGGTAGGAGATTTAAGGGATTCAATCATTTCTAAGGATCAGAGAGTAATGTGAAAAGCCAAGCAGGAACTTGCTCATTATGTATGTAGTTATATAACCTGCAGTGGCAATTTAAAAATTAAAGCCACCTTTCAGGGAATATTCAATGGACTACAAAACCCACTGGCTTACAAGAAACCAGAACAAACCACAAAGGAAGCAGTGAGGACTAGCTTTGAAGAATTTAGGGTTGCATTATGTTTTCACTTGGGGTTCAATCTGCTCAGGGTCAGTTCATTCAAGGCAGGTTTTTAAGCACCAAAATGTAGGTATCTGCTAACATAGGTGGGTCTATCTAGCTATAGCCCAGCATTTCTTTTCAGGCTCTTCACTGGCTTGAGGAAAATGAAAACAAAAGGCTGAACAGCACTCTTAAAAACAATATAAGCATATTTAAGAAAATAATTAAAAGGATATAAAATACAAAATAACTGCAACAATTCACATTCATGTCCTAAAATGGTGTTTTGTTTTTGCTTTTTTTCTTTTTTAAAGTGAAATGTTATCCTATTTTTCCTATTAAGCAACTGAACTATTAAGCAGCAATATGCTTTATGCACTCTGTTTATAGATAAGGATATTCCTTCAAGATTTCCACAGCCTTCAAGAGATCTAACTACATAGAAACCAGAGACTGATGAGAGTCAGTAACTGTGACTCATGAAAGTCCAATGGCCACAAGGTCACCGCATGAGCAATGCAATGAGCTCTTGCTGTCAGCAATAATCAGAAAGCTAAGGTGCACTCAAAGAGCAGCAAGTATCTTTTTAGGCTACAATGAAGATAATGATTTTGTTGTCTAACCCATTGAGCTCCCCAGCCATTTCATTTGGATGCATACCAAAGACTCAACTTTCATCCAGGCGCATTCTTTAAAGATAGTCTTTGCCATCTTGAAAACAATTGTAAAATTACAACAAATTCCAAAGTATATTAAAAAACTGCCAAAAATATTATTTGATACCGTATGCCATTTTAAACTCATATTTTCTCCTCCTAGACACCTAACCTAGACAGGTTCTATGATTAATTTATTATCATTTGTCCGGTTGGCATCCTCAGTGTTACAGATTAATTTCTGTTACAGCCTCATTATTTCAGTTCTATAAATACCCCATTTCATTTTACTTCTTTGTACAGTTACTTTGCAACCTGCTTTTTCTCCTTCATTTGGGACTCTCACTTCCAATTTAACACAAGTCAGTAGGCAAAGATTGAGCTGAAACTCAATAATTACACCTCCCTGATCTAGAAAACAGAATCATTTTTCTTATGGATGGAAGCTGTTCTGATATCTCACAAGCAATCCTAACAAAAAAATTGTAATAATAAAACAAAAAAAAAACCTCATCACTTGTCAGACTAATAACAGAAAATGCTGGCTTTCATAATTTGAAAAGCCAACTTAGCTGGATTACAATACAGTATTTGCATTTGAGGAAGTGTAAAGTTGAATCATAACCCAGACCTCAGCACACTGGGTATATCTGGTTCCACCTGCAAGAATATTAAACCTCCACCCAATACATCACTGACAAAACAAGTTACATCCGCAATAGCTGGCATTCAGTATGTGGCTGCCCACAGAAGACTTTTCAAGTACTTTATGTCCTTGAGTTTTGTTTACTATTTTCAGGCTTTAAGTTTTCTGACCTTTTCCTTTCAGCTTTTGCCATAAGTTCCTGGGATCCTCTAAAAGTTTAGGAAAGCTTCTGAGTGTTTCTCCTATAAGCGTGAGCACATCCTGAAATAAAAAGGGGACATGAAAATTATTAGGTTTTGGATTCCATGTACTTGTATCATAGGTCTGCCACTGGAAACTATATCCAGTCCCTCAAGAGCAACTAGGTAGGCTGTATCCATCATCACAATTTTGCTGGATTTTTAAAGCACCTTGTTTAAAAACTTTGTTGACCAACGTGGCCAGTGATCTGGCCCATACAGCATGTAAGCAGAAAGCTATGCTGCTCACTAGTGACCACACATCACTTCTACCTTCTGTGGATGGCTGCCAACATAGATGACAAAGAGCTCAATAGTACTGTGGAGCTCATACACTACCCCAGCTGCTCCCCAATGGTTTCTGAAGTCTCAAATTTCAACTACAGATATAATGGATAAAAAAAATAAAATAAAAATCAGGAGGCCGGCATTATTAGGAGAAAATGGAATGTGTGGTACAGTCCACTAATTCCCAACCTGCTCACAAACACAGAAAAAAGTTTTGAAGCTTCAGAGAGCCATTTCTATCCTTTGCTCAGAAACAACTTGCTTGCTGTTTCACTCTGTATCAAGAAGTGGTACAACTCCTCCTTGAGAAAGAGCATCCTGAAGAAGCCACAGAACAGGCAGGGATTCCATGAATTCCAGCTTACATTAAAGAAAATCCTTCTGGAATAGATTGTGTAACTATAATGCATGAATGTTAGCATTGAGAAGACAATACTTTAAAGAAGTTTCACCACATCTGTAGAGAATGGTGAAGATCAGTCATTTCCAGAGTCTATCACAGTATATGCAGAAACACAGAACTCTTAGAGGAATGTGGCTGTGACACATTACACAAAGTATTTCTGAAAAGAGAACAGAAGACTTGCTGCACAGCTACGTTTTCCCTTCCAGCTCTCTAAGTTCCCACAGATTTTTAATTAAGGCCTTACTTTTTCCCTCTGCCATATTCAGCTGTGAAGTAGGGACAGTCACCTGGCAAAACTAAGTCAATTTTGAGGAAAAAACAAAAACATACATCACCACAAAAAAAAAAAAAATCTATATGCACAGGCAGGTACAAAAGCAAAAGCTCTACTCTGAAGCTGATATCACTGCAACTTAGAACCTGGGAACACACAAAGCAAGTGTATCTATGCTTCTGTGAATAGCGTAACAGGAAAACTTTGGCATTCAGACTGTATCTTTGCAGAAAGTCAAATTCTCTTCACATTCACTTCCCCAGTGTTATCATATTCAAGCGACAAACAAAAAAAAACCCACAAAAAATCACATCCCTGTCACGGTTAAGAAAAAGCCTTAGAAGCAGACTGTAAGGAGCAAGCTGCCTCAGCCTCCATAAAATCCATTGCACAGTGCAGTATCTTATTCAGCAGTTCTTAAGGCAAAGGATTTGGAGAAAGACGAGAATGAGAAGAGCTAACTCCTACATCATTTTGTTATTTGCCATTTTGTTTTGGATAATCCATCAAAAAAACTGCAGGCAACTAATCAAAATGTACCCAAAACACTTGCAGGACATCATGGAAAAGACCTTCAGCTTATATAAATCAAGCAAGCTTAAATTACTTGATCAGCATGCTAGCCTCATGGCTTCATAACAACATGGAGCCAAGTTCCATTCCAAACTGTACTGCATTCAGATCAATTTGATTACATTACTATACACTAGGGCAAAATCTGGCTTAAGAATTCTTTAGTTATAGTAAATACCAAAGTGTTACCAAAAAAAAACCTGATACACTTGCTTACTCTGGAGTAAATCTGTTCTTCCAATTTTTCGCGGAGTAGAGCTCTTTCCATTAGTATCTTCTTCTGTCTGAGAAAAGTAATTTTGGCTAGCTCTGCCTTCTTCTTCTTACAGTCAGGGCACAGTGAAGATTTGTGCACTTGAGCTTCTGTCACCTGAAGGATGAGACTTTGATGCAATGAGCAGTGTCTGTCCCAGCAAGATGGCTACTCCATTAAAAATAATCAATAAAAATACAGATATAGACAGCATCTAAAGATAAATATTTTCTTTTGCAGGCAGCTGTAAATAATTCCATAGTCTTTGTTACTAAATCATCTTGATAAGTCTGTCTGAAAGCCTTCACCCTAAATATATTTGCTTTTCCTTACGTATTGCCCTCTCCAGCACTGATAACATAGACAGCTTCATTTACAATTATCTGTATCTCAGAACCACAGTACTGAACTGTACTGCACTAGTTCTTCTGTAACAGGAAAAGTTTCCCTGACACTTGAGGCTGTGTACACAGTCCTGATTTCTTCTACCTTAACTATAATAGTCAAAAAAAGTTATGACTGCAAATTAACGTCTGTGAGCAGTTACACCAGCCAACAAAATGCTTTAAGTAGATAAGTCATGGGTGGATTAACTTCAATTTCACCAGTGTAATCTCTGCATACTTTGTTAGTGTCAAATACATTAGGAGAACCATCAGCCATTAGTTACTCTTGCTTGATGAGTAATTAATGTTCCAGAGAGCTAGTCTGTGCATGATATCCAGCCTTCCACAACAGCTAATATATTAATTCCTGAAGGCTCAATTAAATTAAATGAATGTGTTTTATCCCATGTTTTCAGCAAGCTAAGAGTACAAAGACTTGATCATCACAACTGAGTAACAGCAATTGTTAATCAGCAATAATTCCGCCAATGCAAGAGCCTGTCTGTAACAAAGCTGTTGTTGAGAACCTCTTTGATAATAAACACAAGGCCTCAAGTACAAGCCATGGAGGTTACGATATCTCTACAAATTTTAAGAGGAAAATAAATTCTGAAGCAATTGGTTCAAATATCTACATGCAACTCTAAAGCAGAATACAAACAAAATTTTATTAGCAGTTCTCTTTGTAAAAATAAACGGGACTAATTTGTTAGTTTATTCTCCATGAAACCTTGAGCATATTTAATAACATTACACAAATCCCAATATGTTTATGAATAATCAATAATTTTTATCTGATTTTATTTACAGAGATTCCATCTTATTATATCGGCCTAAGGCATTACTGCAAGAGCAGTGCAATCAGTCCCACATCTCAAGCCTCTGTATTCTAACTTGATTTCTCTTCCTCTGCATAAAAGTGCTATCACATGGTGGTATAAACACAGAAGTAGACATAGCAATCAAATTCACTTTCCTTAAAAAATGCATTATTACACTGTAGTGCAAATGAAAAGGCAACAAGAATTCTACAGAATGGTGGGTTGATTAATGCTAATAGAATAAAAGAATGTAGGTTGCTTATTTATTTTGGTTGAGATTTCAGCAGGTAGCATCAAAGAATCATTATGCCAGAACTGACTTAAAAGTATTCTATCCTGCTCACCCAGCTAACAGAGTAATACGTCAGTCACTTTTGCTATGCTGTATGGCAACATATTAAAACCAGCACATATGATAGAATGAAAGCAAAATAAATGACCATAATTGATATTCAAAGCTTTTTTTTTTTTTTTTTTAAATCAGAAGCACTTTGGCAAATACAGACATTCTGTACCAATTTCAAGCAAGGCACAGGCATTTGCCAAAGCCCAGATTTATGAGTAAAGGCATCTGTAGGTGATGACTGCTATAAGCACATATTCCAATCCATCTACATGCACAAAGTGAGAATGCAAGTATCGCTGCCAAATACTACCAGCCTCAACCCTCTGGGCAGATGCCGAGTTGAAGAGTTGTGTCAGAATGCCTATCTGCCTATGACAGAGGGGAGAATACACTGGGCTGGTGAAAAAGAAAAGTGCATCAAACTGTATAAAGATGATGTAAATGATTTTTAATAAAGGAACTGAGGAAACCAAGTTCCTATTGGACATGCTTTAATTTTCAATATTACTAATATCTAAAGGGAGGAAAGCTGAGGGCAAGGGGTGGCTTCTGCCTTTTGAAATACTTTCAATACTAGAGCTAACAAGGCTACATAATCTAGCAATATACAGAATACTTCCATAAATAACAAGTGCAAATGTAACCAAAAAACAAGGCTTCTGGGGCATACAGTGGACTGCAGTAACTGATCATCCCAAATCACCACCACTGTTACCATCACACGCAGTACCTGTTTAATGGTCTCCTGGATGTTTTTGAGACGGATTCTGTTCATCAGCTGATGGGGAACAATGCAGTTCAAGTCACTTGCCTCTGATGCCTTTGATGTGAACCCACGCTGCTGCTTTCTTGACTTGCCACCACTTGCCTGTTCAGAGATCAGCTCCTGCAGCACCCTCCTTATCTTAATGATGCAAAAAGACTGGAGAGCATCCAGTTCTTCCTCTGATAACTCAGTAACTTCTGTTAACAAAACAAAGTGTCAATTATTACAACAGAGGAAGAGAATTACTGGTCTTCTATCTGTGAAACCTCATATTATCTATTTAATAAAAAACAAACCCAATGTCAAGCCTGGAAGCAATGACTGTAATAACAGTAATAACAATTTAAACCAGAATCTGGATAACAACTGCAGGCACTTACATAACAGATGCCTCTGAATAGTCTCCAAAGAGAAAAGATAAGAACCCTAAAGATTTATACCACCTAATGGTACTGCATAAAGTTATTAGTAAATCTAGTACTACTTTTCAAGTATTGAATCAGAGGCTATTGCAGGAACTCTGGAAAACGATTCAAACAACCCATAGTTATGGGGGTTTTTTTGTTGTTTTGTTTTGTTTTCCTGAGGAAATGCAATTATTTTAAAAGTATTTTCCTCTCAGGCTTCAATGATCCTTTAAGAAACTTTAATATGACCTTGTTTAAACAAGATCTTTCACTCTTATCTCCTCCCTTGCCAATGACGTGTAATAATAAACAGACTTCATTTCAGATGGGCATTCAAGGATGGATTTAAAACTTCACACAATGCTTTGAGGAAGATTTTCCACTTGTTTCAACAGAGCCAATCAATACAGAAACCAACACGAGTAAGCTTTTTGATGTTGCAATTTCATTATTTCATGAGCTTAAGCACGTAACGACGCTGGGCTGTACTGCGTGATCTTAAGAGATACCACTTTTTCAACCATTTAAAGAGGGAATTCTATTTCTCTACCTTTATAACGCTAATTTCGTTTTTTTATATGCAACTTCTGAAGCCCGGTGAAATATTTGACTGTCTATAATGAAATGAGAAGCAAGGGAACCAAACAAATACAGTAATCATTACTAGAAGTCTGATGGATGCCTCTGCATATAGCTAATGCTAACACAGTACTCCCTTTTCAGGGCTGCACTCTGACAGCCAAAAGGAAGGCAGACCATAATACTACAAATGCGGTTTGTTTTGACTTAAATACTCAAACGCAGAGTACACCACTTAAGCAGTCTTTCCTTATTACATGTTCCACTCATTGTCAGTAATTTTCCTTAGATTCAATTTTACTTTTTCTGGACAAGCACTGCGTATTTCAGGGTGCCTCTGTGACAACCAGCACACTGTCATTAAACTCATTAAATGTACTTAAACTGTACTTAAATGCACCTTGGCATAACCATAACACAAGTCTTTACAACAATGAACAACATAAACATAAAACACTTCCTAAAAATGCTGTGATTAATGGCACCTGAAGCAGGCAAGCCACGGCAGTGGAATTTCATAAGGAAGCCAGGCATGTCTTCAGAAATGCACTCAATCCTTATGAAGATTAAGTGGATCCACAGTTAAGACTAAGCAGAGTGGAAATCAGTAAGCTTTGCCTTATGGACATGGAAAATGTGTGATTTAAGTGCAACTGTCACAGTTCAAAAATCAATCATCATACAGCAATTTATTCCTCTTTACAAGCTGGTGTATCGAATTCACTAACGACACAGTGATACTTCATAGATGGATGAATAAGAACTACTGGTACTGTAAAATGCAATTTAATATTTTTTTTTCCTTGGGGAGGATCGTGAAAGTTTGCACAGGTAAACACCATCAGATCATCTTCCTTGCAAAACCATGTAAGACATGCACCAGTATTTGGTTTAACTATATTAAAAAACAGATACGTATTCACCTATGTTGCACAGAGATTGAATAAAAAAATGAACACATTACTGTGATGGTAAAAAAAAAAAAATCAATTAAAAATACTAACTTGAGAACTTCAATGCCCAAGTAAAATACATGGGGCTGCTGAATACTTTGTGACAATTTAATACCAGACTAACTCATTCCGTGAAGTTTCTTCTGACACATCGAAGTGCACTTGAATGAAGAACTGGTTTCTAATAATGCACACATTAATTGTGCTGCCAGGCATCCACCCATTTGCTCATAGACACCTACAGACATTAGAAGAGACGCCAGCAAAGAGAAGAGGAAGATTTAAACTTTATCAGTAAATAAACTCCAAGGGAATAGAAATGTTCAAAGATCCAGGACTACAATTTTACAGAAATAAGAACCAAAAGTGGTAAGAGAAGTAAGCACACAGTTAAATTCAGGGAGCAGAATTAAAAAGAAGAGTATTTTAACTGCATAATAACTATTTAGACTTTCAGATTTTCTTCTAGGTAAAAGAGGTTTGTCTGTTCTTCCGCTGAAGGAAGTGAGATTTATGCAACAGGACCCATGTTGAAACCAGTTGGTTTTCAGTTCCATTTCTTGTCTTTCTCTCTTTTCCATCTTTGGACTAGACATGCTTGAATGCTCAATCTCCATTCATGGTGGCAGATTTAAATGTCATTGTATATCTGTCTATTGAGAATACCTGCCAATGCCAATTACTGTTCCAGAAGCATGCTTTGCTGATGCTTCATTGCCCCCAGTCGTGCATTCCATACCATCTTCCTTAAGGATAAGGAAGGGATAGGTGTTAAGAAGAACAAAACCAGACACCAGAACAGACATCAAATGAGAACCATGTATCACACAGACACAGGCTAACAAAGCACAGGCTGTTTAGAAAGTAAAGCACAAACTGAACCAACAAGCTGCTCTGATAAAAGCAGTCAGTATCTCACCACTGGAGATAAAATAATCTCCACATCTGCATAATAAAACCTGGCACGTGCCTTATAACTAAATGACCTACATAGATTTTACTTCCTGTATGCAACTACATTTTTAAGGATAAGGTTTTAAATCTACAGAAGTGATGGAGGAAAAAAAAAAAAAAGAAAGAAACCTACTGTTTCCCTGGGTTTCCTTTATCTTTGATGCCTAATTTTGATTAAGTAGAAAAAACCTAAAGCATAATAACAACAATATGCCTACCATCTTCTACTACAAGAAAAAATGTGGAATGGATAAAGGAGAGATAATTGTGAAAGTCAGTAACTGATTACTACTCAGTAAGATCGACAAGATAACATCCTCATAATTATCTAAATTGCATTCATGTGATAGAGTACAGCAATTCAGATTAACACACTGCTGGCCCAATCAGCAAGCATAAGTTTCAAAAGATTTGTTCAGATAGCATAACACTGATAATAAGCCATCTGATAAACCAAGCTATTTAACAGAAACATGAATTCAAAGCCAATTATGTTCTCCTGCACAGTGCAGGATTTCCTCAGTTTCCACTCAACAATCGTTATAAGAGCCAACAACAAAATCTCACAGAATTCATATTTCTCAGGAGAAACTCTTTCTCAATTCCCACATGGACGCTGCTGGTTGGAATTTCCCCATTTGGCCTGTATCAATGCTATTTTACTACTGAATAGCAAAGCTTTCTAACACATTGTTGGATGAAAAGATATAACTCTGAAATGCCAGGGCCTCAGCCTGCTGGATTCCCACACCTTGTGCATGTTACCAAGCAGGAAGATGAAGTGCCAACAAGCACAGGATTAAAAACGAGCCAACAAAGACCAATGGGTACCTGCTCCCTCCTGCAAACACAATAGTTACAGCTTCCTCAGTTTTTATAGGCAACTACCACTACTTTAACAAATACTTTTACTATTTCAGCCTGGAGAAGAGAAGGCTGCGGGGTGACCTCATTGCAGCCTATCAATACCTGAAGGGAACCTACACCCAGGAGGGGAGTAAACTCTTCAAAAGGACTGACAACAGCAGGACTAGGGGAAATGGATCCAAGTTGAAGGAGGGAAGATTTAGGTTGGATGTTAGGGGGAAGTTCTTCACAAGGAGAGTGGTTAGGCCCTGGAATGGGCTGCCCAGGGAGGTTGTGGATGCCCCGTCCTTGGACGTGTTCAAGGCCAGGTTGGACGGGGTCCTGGGCAACCTGATCTGAATGTGTGTGTTTGGTGGCCCTGCTAGGCAGGGGGGTTGGAACTACATGATCCTTGAGGTCCCTTCCAACCCGGGTGATTCTGTGATTCTGTGTGATTCTATTTCACTATTTTACTTACACTATTTGCTGAGCCAATTTACACACTAGGACACTTGGAAATTTGTTCACGAAGCACGCACACACTAGATCTACTCAAAGAAGTAGCTGGGCAACTGGCAAAAATTAATACAGAAAAACAAATCCTTATGCTTCCCTCAGTGCACTCACCTATGCACACATGCCAGCACCTTTCACCCAAACACCACAAACTGCAGCTATTTGTATCTACCTTAGACTTTCTTACCTTTAGATTTCCCAGTGTTGATACCAGTACCACAATAAGCAGAGTACTTTAAGTTGTCAAAATTGACTGACATCTTGCATTTTAGTATTTCAGCCACAGAGCTGCCTAGTTCTGCTCAAACATTTCTGTACCTCTAAATAACACACAAACATCTTACAAGCTAATTTAAGTGTGAATCTCTCAATAGGAGCACAAGCCAAGCTGTTGAAAAGCCCCACCTGAACTTTCAGACATACATGAACCACAACTGTGGTTTCCTGTAGTAAATATCAAAGTTGATTAACTGTCTTCAGAATAATTGAGAGACTTGGAGACTTAGAAGAATAGGGTGGGGTTTTTTGATGCATTTTACTAACAACTAACTGCTACACAACTGAAGTAAAGGTCCAAGGAAGAGAAAGCAACAGTTACAGTAAAAACTTCCTCACTTCTCCTGATGCAAGCATCAAGGTTTTCCTTCTTTTAAGCCATAAATAAATCTAGCAAAACAAGACTGATGTTCCAGGGCATTCCTATATGCAAAGCAAGATTTTCCTCATTTAACTGTATTAATAGTAAGATACAAAAACTCTTGCTTTATTACCCATAGATGAATTCAAAAGTGACATGCATATTCAGTGCATACAGCATTCATTTTGCTAAATTTACAGAGGGGAATTAACTGTGCAGCAGCCGAGCTCTAGGAGATCTCATTTTCTATTATGCTTTAGACGACACCAAGTTGATAAAATAATAAGGGCTCAGAGCCTACTGAGTGCTGAATTAAGTCAAAGAAGAGGAGACATCCATGGGTATCAGCATACCGAAGCTGCTGTGCTTATTCTGTATGTATGTTAGCTGTGTACTTTGTTTTTCTAATAAAAGTAGACTAAATATCGATGATGATAATTTGGGGATAATCTGTCCACTGCGTGCCAGCATTGTTTTCATACAAATGAAGCTTAAGCACAAACCTTCATATTGACAGAGCGAGGAGGCACGTTGTACCCAGAGTGCTGAACTACTTCGATGATCAGGGAGAGCACAGATAGAGAGCAATGCATCATTTTACACATCACCTCAAGCTAAGACTCAGCCACCAGCCTGCCTATACCTGCCCACAGCCCATAAGCTGAAGACAGAACGTTTCTTTGAGCAGAATTCAGAGGATGAAGTCTTGCCAATCAATTTTCAAGGAAAACCCTGTAGAGACCTAAAACATTCCTAATGCTACATTGCTGTTTATAATTTGTTAAATGAATCTGAGTTCAGCAGGTTCTCTTCAGTTCCCCTATCGATCAAATGATCATGAGACTCTGAGATATTTTAGGAAGATTATCTCAGCACAGCTCACCAGGAGAGGCCTCACTACTAAAAATAATGTACATTACTTGTCTTTACACTTGACTCCATGAAGAAACCCAATAATAGAAAGATAAAAGCTGAAGATGACTTAGGAACTCATAACACTGAGTCACCACTGTTGTGAATGAGCTATGCAATTAAGAGAAGCGTAAGAATGATCTCAGGGCACGTTCCCCTGTGGTGTATGGGGAGTTTCAGGATGCTTCTATGCAGAGTACCTGCACCTGGTTTATCAGTCTTAGAGCAGACCTACAAAACTTTGGATATTTTTCCCCACATACATGCAAAGGAAGATACCCTGCTTCAATTATTTTTCTTGCTCAACCACAACTTTCTTGCTCTTTTTTTTTTTTTTTTTTAATTAAAAATAGTATCTCTGACCCACTTTTTAGAGAGATTTGAGCAGTACTTCCATCCCACCATCTGCTCTCACATTTCCTTGCATAACCAGTGCATGCAAAAAGCCTCCTCCTTTCCTCTCTTCCCCACTCCTCCTCCACACACTACATCATTGTGTTGGTTGAAGTTGTTCTATTGTTCTTCCCAAAGCTGGAGCCCTGCTGCCTCCTGCAGCTTAGAAAAGAGACTCTGAGGGCTTCTCTGTGAGTAAGGCCTCCTATTTTATTACGTTGGCCCATGACATCAACAATAAGATATTGGTGGTATGGCAGTAAAGGTTGAGCCTTCCCATCAATGTTCCATCACATTCTGTTGCTGTGTGACAGATGACAGCAGAGGGGCAGCGTGAGAGAACGGCATCTGACATGGAAGTGCATATGAAACCAAGGTGTGTCACTGAATTCCTCTGTGGAAAAAACTGCACTCACTGACATTCACTGATGCTTGCTGAAGATTTACAGAGACCAAACAGAGGATGTCAACACAGTGAGGAGTGGGTGCTTCATTTCAGCAGTAGCAACACAAAGACAGTCACGCATAACTGTGACAACATGAAATAAAGAGCATCACAGTTAGCTCCCCTGCATGAATTAGCTAACGCTGGTGACTTACTAAAAAACTGTTTGGTAGCTGAAAATTAGCTCTACTAGATAGTGTGATTGTGGTCTTTGTATCTGTTGTCATTTCCATGGAAATAAATAGGAGGCATTACTTTAGGAGCAACCTATGTTAACCATAGCCAACCGGCGATTCAATAATTAACACAGACTGTCTGCAGGGTGAAAACATTTCACCTGTTCTGAAAGCATGTTTATTTTTAAAGAGAAAACACAGCCCAGCACCTATACAGCTGGAGAGAAAAAAAACAGCCCAGTAAAATTGAGATTTTACAGTTCAAGAAAAGTTATCCCTGCTTTAAATTTCTGCAGATTTATCCACACCTTGTAATAACACATAAGCAGTAAAACGTCTCTGCATCAGGAGCAGCAAACCTATGTGTTACAGCAGACAAACTGTTTTGTTTTTTTCTTCCAAGAAAGCAGAAAAGAGAAGCTTTATATACCTGGCTAATTGAGTCTGGTTAATTACCTGGCTTATCTTTAATAGCTTATACATGACTTTTTAGTCTAGCTAAGAATTCTGTTCCCCTTCTTCTGTCAAAAGAAGAATTATCAACTCTACCTAAGTTAGTGAACTCACCAGCTTGAGTTTCGATGACGAATTTATCTTGTTTAATGCCAGCTTCCTTATTTTTTAGGACATCAATCAACTTTCCAATGAAATCTCTTTCTGCAGCTGCAGAATCAACTACTTCAGACTGCTCTTCTACAATGGAAAAAAAAAGATATTTGATCATATATTGTAAAAAACAAAAAACAAAACAAAACAAAAAAACCTCAAGACCACTAAACCAAGAGGCAAATTCTTCACTAGAATATGGCTGAGTTTTCCCCAGTGTTGAAAAAGAAGCCTCGAGCCACAGGACTTTACCATTTATATCAACAACTTCAGGCTGAAATACCAAGGAAGTTTCTGTCCCATTGAAGTATATCTCACTGCTCATTTCTAATCACTCCACCGAAAGATTACAGGATAAGCTGGAAAGAAGAGAGTGGCACATTCCATCTTGTCTGCAGTGCTAACTTCACCTCGATCAAGGCCCATGTAGGCCCTTCTTTTGTGGCAGCACAAATACTCATGGGAGCATAGGTGAACTGAATCTGGAAAAGATGAAAGACTGAAGCAGTCTGAAAAATCAGTGCCACTGACAGAGAGGTACGTAAGGCATGGCTCCAGACACTGGCTGTCTTCTCTAATCTGTTTTCAGGATAGCAATAGCAAATTCAGTAGGCTTATAGAAGGTAACAGAGACATCAGCGTATAGGTTTTACAGAGTTATTTATATATGCTGCTCTCTATAAGGTATCAACTGCAGAAAACTATCAACTTCACAAAATATTTTTTCTGTGCATTATTCCCTGGTTTTTTATTTAACAAGTAGCACTCAGACAACTCCATAATTTCATGGCATATTAACCTCATGAAGATACAAAGTGGTAGCACTTACTAAAAGCACCTCCGCAAACAAAGCACATGCTTCTGGATGGCAAAAACAAGGATTTCAATGGTTAGACATGGAACCATTTCAAAATGTTGTATATCCAGAAAAAAAGGTTTAATAAACCCCATCATTGGTAAAAACTAATTTTTACAAGCCAAACTGTTCAGTCTAATCCATTAGACACTGTTCAATTATAGAAATGTAGCATGAATAAGACGTCATAGCAACAATAATCTTTTTCAGCTTTTTTAAGCACTGATCTCCAAGGCTACACTCCATTCAGTTTTCACATTTTTTTGCAAATTCAAGTGTCCAGTGCCCAGATCTAAAGCTGTGATAGGTCTGAAGTATGGTAAGCTCTCCATACCTGTATGACTTTGGCCTGCCAACCACAACATGCTTTCCCCTGGATCCAACAAACCAGAATGCTCTGCATCTTCTGTGGAACAGTACAGTTCAGATGATTTGCTCTCATGCCAGCAGGAGGCTATTTCTTCCTCACTGAAGGGTTCCCAGGTGTCTTCTGAATAGTCGAGGACAGAGCTAGCATAACTCTGGCTCAATTCCTTCTGCTGCTTTTCACAGTCACCAGAGCCATCTGATGAGGTAGTAGTCATGGTGTAACACTACAAATAAAAACAGAATAAAAGCATATTGCAATTTCAGTTACACAGGAAGAACAACTGAATTATTTACAGCTATGGGGAACACGTGGACAAACACTATAGCTCAGCTCAAATCCTATTTAGCCACCAAAACAGGGGGATGGAATAACTACTTAATATGTTACATCAATGCAACACCCTTGAAAGCACTACTGCTGATCAAAGTAACGCATCATTAAAATCTGTAAGCATACAGTAACAATTACCATCAAGCACTGCCAATGAATTTTGATGAGCATTCCTTTTGAGTTTGAATGCAATGAATTACAGGTAACACTTGAATTCAGTCATTCATGAAAACAAAGGTGATTTTTAAAACAGATTTTGTTTTTCTTAGATTAAACCTCCCACCTCTCAAAAAAGCAAACTCTCCTTAGTTAGATTAAATTTTGTCTAGAATACTAGAAAATAAGCACAAGCCTGCTAACGTTCTCAAAATGAAGATGCTCACAGCATAGGAGAAAAAAAAGCTCTCCAGAACAAAGTTTAAGGAATAAAATAGACCTCAGACAGGTAGCTGCCACATAACTGACAAGCTTTAAAGCTTTATTCTTTTCTCTTTTTATTAGAGTGATTCACTACCCATTCTCCCTTTGAATCTAACAGCTCCTAAATAATTTCAATCCATTTCTTCTCCCAATCTCATAAGGAGAATAAATGAATGGGCGACATGCCTTTGGAAAGATGCTTATGGTAGCAACAGCTGTGGCTCTTCCATCAGAAAAAACAGAACCCCAGAGTGATGAAAGTGGGTAAACAAAGGAATCATCACCCTGAAGTTCAGCTACGCCACTGTAGTTTGGTGTTCATTAACTGTTTATCTTGGACAAGAGAAGGCTTCCTGGCAGACCTCGCTGTGGCCTTCCAGTATTTGAAAGGAGCATATAAACAGGAGGGGATACATCTGTTTACAAGGGTGGATAGTGATAGGGTAAGGGGGAATGGTTTTAAACTGAGACAGGGGAGGTTTAGGTTGGATATTAGGAGGAAGTTTTCCACACAGAGGGTGGTGACGCACTGGAACAGGTTGCACAAGGAGGGCTGTGGATGCCCCATCCCTGCAAGCATTCAAGGCCAGGCTGGACGCAGCTCTGGGCAGCCTGGCTTAGAGGTTGGTGACCCTGCACATAGCAGGGGGGTTCAAACTCTGTGATCACTATGGTCCTTTTCAACCCAGGCCATTCTATGAACTTAGTTTTGAAGGTGCTGATTTTAGCTATTTCTCTCCCTGAAGCGCACTGCTGTCTGTTCTACATGCCTTGTTGCCACCAAGGTCCTTTGGTGAACTGTGTACAGACTGCATGCCTTAAAAAGTTCAGGGCTTTTCCCAACAGTTGATTTCCAAAAGCAATATTTAACACCAATTCCTAAGACCAAAAGTTTAATCTTTGTTTCAGCATGTGCCAGAAGTCAAATAATAGTTCTGATCTAACCTTTAAATATTAATAAATATTAGTCTTTTTTTTTTTTGTTCACTACACCAACATTAATTCAGACTTGTTAATTAGATGAGATCCAACAGAGAAAAATAATAGGAGCTGCAAACTGAGTCAGTGTTCGAGCCACAGCTGGCCCAAGGAGCTGCAGCTGCACACAGATAGAGGAGACAACCATCAACCCATCCTTGCCATTTCCAGTAACCATATTCCTCAGTGCCACATCTACACATCTTTTGAAAACCTCTAGAGATGACTTCAGCATCTCCCTGTGCAGCTCAATCCACCACCTCACTGCTCTTTCTGAGAAGAGATTTCCTCTAAAATCCAACCCAAACCTCCTCTGGCACAACTTGAGATCATCACCTCCTGTCCTATAGCAGTTACCGAGGAAAAGAAGCTGACCCTCACCCTCACTTTATCACAGCCTGCTTTCAGGGAGTTGCAGAGAACAGTAAATATTCCCGACTTCTCTTAGTCTTCTCCAGACTACGGAATTCTAGTTCCTTCAGCCACTCTTTGTAACACTCGTCCTCTACACCTTCCACAGCTCCACTGCCCTCTTCTGCATAGAGACCAGGGTTCCAAAGACTTTCTTGTAGCAAGGAGCCAAAAACTGAACACAGTACTCAAGACACAGCCTCACGAGACATACTGTATAAAGTATAAGAGGACATAGCTGCCACTGACAAGTTCTCAAATCACCTAAGAAAGATACTGGTCACAATTCAGTAACAAAAAGAAACAGCTGAACCCTTTCTAAGCATTAGGGCTCCCTGAAATACTCCCAAAGGAGACAATCTCCAAGCGGAGATGCTTTCCCTTCAGCTGCCAGCCCTTGAAAGTGATTAGGGGTCCACCCCTTCCAGTCACACAAGTGAATTACTTGCATCTGTGCTCCCAGTGTTGGCCAAGCCCCTTCACCAGGTGCTCAATCACCGGTTCAGGCTGTGACCCAACAGCTGCCATACACCAGAGCTGAGTACAGAGGGACTGAGTATGGACGGACTCCTCCCTGCTCCTGCTGGCTGCAGTATTTCTGATGTAAGCCAGGATGCCGCTGGCCTTCTTGTTTCCCTGGGCACACTGCTGGCTCCTGTTCGGCTGGCTGCCAACCAACACCCTCAGACCTGTTTGTAGTCACTCCGCTCCAAGCCTGCAGCACTGCAAGGGGTTGCTGTGACCAATGTGCAGGACTCGCACTTGGCCTTCTTGAAGCTCATGCAATTGACTTCCAGCCTGCCCACGTCCCTCGGTAGGGCCTTCCCGCCGTCAGGCAGACGGCTGCTTCCTCCAGCTTCGTGTCCTTACTGAGGGCACTCGATCCGTTTGTTACAGCAAGTAACAGCCAACAGGAAAGCCTTCTGCATCCACTTCCCGGTTAAAGCCCCGCCGCGGCAGACGTTGTCCTTCTTTCAGTTACTAATCTAACATATCCCCTTCAGAATGCCGTAACCACACGCCGGGGCCTTCCTTTACAGCCAGACTGCGTGGCGCTGGGCCCGAGCGCTGTACTTACGGACGCAGCCTTACACACAGCGCAGAAACATCCCTGCTTCCCTTCCCCCGCCGTCTCCGGCCCAGCAGGGCCCGAGGCCCGGCCCCAGCGGCATCCCGCCCCGCCCCGCCTGGCCGCGGAGCAGAGAGCGGGCGGGGTGCGGAGGGCGCGAGGCGCCGTGTTGTGGTGCTGGGTTTGCCGTCCTCACGCCGTCCCTGCTCCTCGGGCAGCGATCATCTGTGAAAAACGAGGGCATCCACCACTTCTCTGGGCAACCCGTGCCAGCGCCTCACCACCCTGAATGTAGAAACCTTCCTTATGTCCCATCTGAATCTCCCCTCTTTTCGTTTGAAACCACTTCGCTTCGTCCTGTCACACAAGACCCTGCTTAAGAGCCTGTCCCCTTCTTTCCTATAGCCCCCCTTAGATGCTGAAAGGAACCGGGCTGGCCTTGCTGAGGTCTTAGCTTGACTTTGAGATATTTGGGACATGAATCTTGTCTTTCATGTTTCATTATGTGCAGCAGCTCAAGAGATGTGGATTCTCTTGAAATAGAGACTTCTATGTGCCACTCCTATAATGTAACAAAACAATTTTGCCAGCATAAGGAAGGAAGTGAATACTGATGCAGAGAGGGTAAGAGGAATGAACAGCTCATATTGTTTAAATGTTTTAGCATTCAGTGATTTGCTGCTTGGTGCTGGTCCTTTTCAAGAAAGAAAAATAATTTAGATGGTAAACGTTAATTTCGTATTCCCCATCAGTACAAATTAGTGATCAGTTGGGAGTGGAAGGGGCATCCTGCAGGAACTGGGAGTCAGCTGAATAATAATCACAGCAGAGATCTGCATAAAACGGTCTTTTATTTAGGCTGTCAACATTAGAGGAGAAAAAAGTAATCAAGAAAACACCACCTCTTTAGATAAGCAAAATCTGCATTGTGTACTAAACCTTTCCGACCTAAAGATTCACCTTTTATTGATTGCTTTATTTTATATCTTTCTTCTCAGGAAAGTAATGTTGCAAACGGGCCAGCAAGCACCCAAACTGAATAAGAACACTTTCTGGGCGAATCTTAAGAGGTAGGCTGACAGTTTTCATGCTCTAGGTTATAAATGATTGTGAAATAGTATAGGGAGGAACATTACGTTTTCCTTGAAATGCTAATCAAGATATACAAAGAACATCACAGAATAAGAATAACACAGATGCTCACAGTTCCCACTAACTGCCTCCCTGTCAGCTTGATACTTCATTATTTATCATTGTCCATTTTTTATGGTAACAGTTGACATTAGATTACTATTGACCTGGTTGATATTTGGATTTATTCCCTAGAGGTTAAAGACTTTGTAGTCTCATTTTCTCAGTCCTTTTTAAAATTCATAATTTTAGAGCATGAAATATATATTGTTCTATCAAGTTTATTTCCCTGACATTTATTCAGTGGAAAGTGTCATCCCAATATTAAAGGTATTTTATTTGAAGCCCAGGATACAAATAAATCTTTTAACTCATCTTCCCTAAAACAGGGCACTTTATCACTGCAGTTCCTCTCACTGATGTCCAGGAAGTTAATATGTTGAACACCATAATTATTTGAACTGGTGTTTGTTTTTAAAGGATTTACTGGTGATAATAGATAGACCAACTCAATTGTGTCAGAAAATATTCAGAGTTCTGACTGCTAATGTAATGGTGTTGGTCCTATGCAGAGCCATAAAATAACATTGTGTGCGAAGCAGTGACAGGATTTTACTCCAGCTCTTCTCTTTATCATACGTTATATTAAATTTAAACAAAATTGTTAAATTTCTTTGCGTGGGTTTTGATGCCTTCTTCTATGAAAGTTGTAATAATGCTTTTAACCGGAGGGCTGCATAAGAATTCATACTTGCTAGGTGTCTTTCACACATAATAAGAATCTCATTAATGTTGCCAGTAGAACTAATTGGACTGTCACAGTAAGGTTCAGTACCCGGTTGGAGAATTATGGTGTGAGGCCAATAGAATTTAGCATATTCTGCTGGTGGGTAAAGCTAACATGAGTCATTAATGAGATGCTTCTGAAGCCTTACTCTCCACAAAAATGCAGGTACTCTGAGGGGCTTTCTTAGACTGTGTAAACATGAAGGACAAATGTAAGAACTCTTCTAAATTTTTCAAAAGCAAGTTGTTGACAGTTCGAGATACAGTAAAGGTTTTCTCCTTTATCAGCACAGACGTTGAAAGTACTGCCAAGTAGCACCTAGACTCCATAAATCACTGATGAGAATGAATAGTTTCAAATTAATACAAAAGAAAAACTCTAGGGCACAGGGCATCTAAAGAATTGTCTAGGGCCTGCTGCTTTTAAAATGGTCAGTTCCCATTAATTCACATCTCTAATTAGGAAATGGATTGATCTCTTGCTTAAAGTTGCTAGTGACTGGCTGGTGTCCATGTCAGATCAGAAGTGTGCATACAAATTAAGCATTATTAGTGGCTGCTGTTGTAGAAGTTTAAATAAATATAAGTTAAATGAAAACTGTAGACTATGTTCTATAGGCAGAACAAAAATGTATTTCAGATCTGATTTTATCCTTAGCTCTTGTAGTTTATGCTCTGAAACATAGTAGGAAACCATGATCAGTTGCCTTTTCACTAGACTTCCGGGTGGAGAAAAGAGGACTGAAAATCTTGTGAAACAGATAAACATTCTAAGTCTTGACCATAGCATCTCTGCAGGCAGATATAATTTCATCTATGTCAGACATAGCAACCACCTTGGGGAGAAATACATTATGAGGTACCAGGTTGTGAAGAGTGTGACAAGTGTCTGTTCCTGACAAGGTTTTATACACATTGGTTCTCTAAGTTGCTGGAGAGCATTGTATTCCAGTGGAATTCCTTAGGATGAGACAGAAACAATAAGCAACACTTGTGACTGCAAAGAAGCCCAGCTGTATTTCCAAAGTTTGGTATTGGTGCATAGGCTAGATTTCAATTAGCATAATTACATTCCATCTTCCTAATTTTGCTTTATACTTGAAGATGGATAATTATTCTTACTCACTGTGTGTCTGAATGTGCTATTAAATAGCAACATCCACTTTCCCATATTTGGGTGCATTTCAGTGCAGACTGCATACACAGACTGCAGATTGCCTTTGAGTGTTTTCTCCTTATAATTGCAGCAACTGCAACAAATTGCAGTAACCTTATAGGAAAACATCTGGAAATGCAACAAAATTCAATTAACCAACATTACAAATTGTCCACTTATGTGCATGTATGCATACATATGCATAAACATACAAACTCCCCACCAGAAACATAAGGGCCTGTTTGGGAACAGGCAGGGCTGCAGGAAGTACTCTACCTGAAAAGCAGGAAGGAAGCAGACCTGGTATTTGACAGTAGTTTCTTATAGTGGAGGTGTAGCAGAAATGCTAAGTCATGGCTTGAAGCAGTGATTGAGCACCTGGTAGGAAGGCAGGGCCAACCCAGGGGAGCTCAGGCGCATGCAATCTACCTGAGTGACCACAAGGGGTGCATCCTGGTTCCACCCCTTCTCAGACCTCATTTAAAGGTTGGCAGTGGTGGTGATGGTATCTTATTGGAGATCTGAGGCCTTCCAAAGGTAAGCAGGTGTTTTGTTTTGTGGGTGGTTTTTTGTTGTTTTTTCTGTTGTTGTTGTTTAAATGCCTATGGATGCTATGTTTGGGCTTGTTATCATTTGTAGTAGCTAAAGACTTTACCCCTGTGCTATTATTGCTGTACTAGAGGTAAAGTTGACTGTATCTTATGATACCTTGAAGCTCTTCACTTGGAATTCTCTGTTTGCTGCTCTGAAACTTAGTGTTGCGTGGGTTGGGACTAGATGTCTAAATTATGTCTTTCCTAATAGACTTGCTTTTTCTTTTTGGTCCAGATATAACAATAACGTGAGTCTAATTTCTCCTGTGTATGATCCTGCTGCTTTCTAAGACAAAGATGTAGTTTGTTAACACAGTCTGCATTCTTATATATCTATTTGCATCTGTTTATTTGATGTTTTTCTCCTGCAGAGTTGCAGTAAGTACCTCTGAGACATTAAATAGTGGAGGAATTCAAACCCACAATTTAGAACTGGCATTTTGAGGATGTATTCCCTTAGATGGACAGGTTGGGGTTATTTCTGAACACGAAGTGAATTCATGTAGAAGAAGTCTCAGGAACTCTTACAGTAAATGCTTGACTTTATTTTCTTTTATCTTTTTACTTAGTTTCCTTAATGATTTTTGTATGGAAGTTCTGAAGTGTCTTGTTGTGGAAAGAAGCTTCTAAAGGAAAGATGAACTCATTGTGCTCTGTGGATAGATTGACACTATATTTATTAATCAGTTTTCTTTGGTAATGTGTTGGCTCTTGGAACTCTTTCAGTGTGCATTTCAAACTGATGAGTCATTTTGACACTTCAGAAAATACCTTCATTCAGAAGTCATAGCTTGTCACATCCATACTCTGGTAACCCATCATGTATTTATCTGTCTTTTGTTAAAGCATAGTATTTATTCATTCATTGGCTTGACTTTGTGATAGTAATTTTCTGTTACTGAAGTGTCCTAAAGGTGCTGCATGTTGTCTTAGCAAGGTTCTTTCTGGTTTTGTTCTCCTAATGATTTACTGCTGGAGTACTATTTCTACTGGAGAAGGAGAAATGATTTTGTGGTTTATTCAGAACACAGTGTTTTGAGATGTTTGTAATCTCCTCTGAAGATAGTTTTATTTCTGAAAATCTCATTATCTTGAAAGAACAACATTAGTGTTGCTACTGATCTTGTCCTTGTTGGTGAGGAAGTGAATTGTTTCAGATGGCTGTATCTGTGGTGAAAGATTTCTCTCTCAATTTTCTAGGGCTTCTTCAGAGCTCAAAAAAAAGAGGCAATGATTTTAAGTTAATGCTGTGTATGTGTAAATGTTTAAGAACATCAGTACCTTAGTCTAAAGGCCTTCTCAACAAGTCCAAGCTCTGTGAACTCAAATACTGCTTTTCATTGTATTGATAAAGCTGTCATTCTCATACCAGTAGCTTACTTGAAACGTAGCTGGTTTTTCCTGCTGCTGTGGGGATAGGAATGTGAAGGCAATCGGACGAATCGCGTAGTG